TGTGTTTGTGTTTGTGTTGGTTTGCGTGTGTGTTTGTGTTTGTGTTCGTGTTTGTGAAAGTGATTGTGTTTGTGCTTGTGGTTGTGTTTGTGTTTGTGTTTGTGTTTGTGTTTGTTTGTTTGTCTGTGTGTGCGTGTTTGTGTGTGTGATTGTCTCTGTGTGTGTGGTGTGTGTGTGTGTGTCTTCGTGTGTCGGCGTTCGTGTGTGTGTGTGTGCGATTGTGTGTGTGTGTGTTTGTGTGCACATGTTTGTGTATGTGTGTGTGCTTGTGTGTGTGTTTGTTTGTGTGCATTTGTGTGTGTGTGTGTGAATGTTTGTGTGCGTGTGTTTGTGTGTGAGTGAGGTTTGTTGCTTTACTGTTTTTGTGTTTGCGTGAGGGTTTATGTGCGTCTGCTTTTCTCTGTGTGTGTGGTTGTGCCTGTTTGTGTGTGGTTGTGTGTGTGTGCGTGTGTTTGTGTGTGTTTGTGTGCTTGTGTGTTTGTGTGCCTGTGTGCCTGTGTGCCTGTGTTTTTGTGTGTGTGTGGCATGTTTGTTATTGTTGTGTTTGTGTGTGTGTTTGAGTCTTTGCGTGTTTGTGTCTTTGTGTGTGAGTGTGCTTGTATGTGTTTTGTTCTTGTGCGTTTGTGTGTGTGTGTGTTTGTTCCTTTGCGTGTTTGTCTCCTTGTGTGTATGCGTGATTGTTTCTTGGTGCATTTGTGTTTGTGTGTGTGTGTGTGTGTTTGTGTGCTTGTGTGTTTGTGTGTTCGTGTGTATGTTTGTTTGTGCGCTTGTCTTTCTACTTTTGTGTGGTTGTGTCTTTGTGTGTGTTTGTGTGTTATTATGCTTGTGTGTGGATTGTGCTTTTGTGTGTGTGTTTGTGCTTTTGTGATCGTTTGTGTGTGTTTGTGAGTGTGTATTTGTCTGTGAGACTGTTTGTGTATGTTTGCGTATCTTTGTGTATGGTTGCGTCTGTGTGTGTGTCTGTGTGTGTGTTTGCGTGTGTGTGTGTTTGTGTGCTTGCGGGCTTGTGTTGTTGTGTGTTTGTGTGATTGTGTGGTTGTTTGTGTGTGTTGTTTGGGTGCTTCGTTGTTCTTTTTGTTTGTGACGTTTGTGTTGCATGAGTGTTTGCTTGTCTGTGTGTTTGCTTGCTTGCTTGCTTGCTTGCTTGCTTACTTGCTGGCTGGCTTGCTTGCTTGCTTGCTTGCTTGCTTGCTTGCTTGCTTGTCTGTTTGTTTGTTTGTTTGTTTGTTTGTTTGCTTGATGCTTCTTTGTTTTGTTAGTTTGTTTGTTGGTTTCATTTGTTTGCGCTTGCTTGCTTGCTTGTTTGATTGTTTGCTTGTTGGTTTCATTCCGGGTTTGTCTGTCTGTCTGTCTGTCCGTCCGTCTGTCTGTCTGCCTGTCTGTCTGTCTGTCTTGTCTGTTTGTTTGCTTGCTTGCTTGCTTGTTTGGTTGTTTGCTTGTTTGTTTGCTTGCTTGCTTGATTGAGTGCTTGTTTCTCTGTTTGCTTGCTTGCTTGCTTGCTTGCTTGCTTGCTTGCTTGCTTGCTTGCTTGCTTGCTTGCTTGCTTGCTTGCTTGCTTGCTTGCTTGCTTGCTTGCTTGCTTGCTTGCTTGCTTGCTTGCTTGCTTGCTTGCTTGCTTGCTTGCTTGCTTGCTTGCTTGCTTGCTTGCTTGCTTGCTTGCTTGCTTGCTTGCTGTCCTTCTTTCCGTCTTTCTTTGTTTCTTTGCTTCTTTGCTTCTTTGTTTCTTTGTTTATTTGTTTCTTTGTTTCTTTGTTTCTTTGTTTCTTTTTTTCTTTGCTTCTTTGTTTCTTTGTTTCTTTGTTTCTTTGTTTCTTTGCTTCTTTGTTTCTTTGTTTCTTTGTTTCTTTGTTTCTTTGTTTCTTTGTTTCTTTGTTTCTTTGGTTCTTTGTTTCTTTGTTTCTTTGTTTCTTTCCTTCTTTGCTTCTTTGCTTCTTTGCTTCTTTGTTTCTTTGTTTCTTTGCTTCTTTGCTTCTTTGCTTCTTTGCTTCTTTGTTTATTTGTTTCTTTGTTTCTTTGTTTCTTTGTTTCTTTGCTTCTTTGCTTCTTTGCTTCTTTGTTTCTTTGTTTCTTTGCTTCTTTGCTTCTTTGTTTCTTTGTTTCTTTGTTTCCTTGTTTCTTTGCTTCTTTGTTTCTTTGCTTCTTTGTTTCTTTGTTTCTTTGTTTCTTTGTTTCTTTGGTTCTTTGTTTCTTTGTTTCTTTGCTTCTTTGCTTCTTTGCTTCTTTGTTTATTTGTTTCTTTGCTTCTTTGCTTCTTTGTTTCTTTGTTTCTTTGTTTCTTTGTTTCTTTGTTTCTTTGCTTCTTTGCTTCTTTGCTTCTTTGCTTCTTTGCTTCTTTGTTTCTTTGTTTGTTTGTTTGTTTGTTTGTTTGGTTCTTTCTTTTTGGTTGGTTGTTTGGTTGTTTGGTTGTTTGGTTCTTTGGTTCTTTGGTTCTTTGGTTCTTTGTTTGTTTGTTTGTGTGTTTGTGTGTTTGTGCGTTTGTGCGTTTGATTGTTTCTTTGTTTCTTTGTTTCTTGGTTTCTTTGGTTCTTTGGTTCTTTGTTTCTTTGTTTCTTTGTTTCTTTGTTTCTTTGTTTCTTTGTTTCTTTGTTTCTTTGTTTCTTTGTGTCTTTGGTTCTCTTTGTTTCTTTGTTTCTTTGTTTCTTTGTTTCTTTGTTTCTTTGTTTCTTTGTTTCTTTGTTTCTTTGTTTCTTTGTTTCTTTGTTTCTTTGTTTCTTTGTTTCTTTGTTTCTTTGCTTCTTTGCTTCTTTGCTTCTTTGTTTCTTTGTTTCTTTGTTTCTTTGTTTCTTTGCTTCTTTGCTTCTTTGCTTCTTTGCTTCTTTGCTTCTTTGTTTCTTTGTTTGTTTGTTTGTTTGTTTGGTTCTTTCTTTTTGGTTGGTTGTTTGGTTGTTTGGTTGTTTGGTTCTTTGGTTCTTTGGTTCTTTGGTTCTTTGTTTGTTTGTTTGTGTGTTTGTGTGTTTGTGCGTTTGTGCGTTTCTTTGTTTCTTTGTTTCTTTGTTTCTTTGTTTCTTTGTTTCTTTGTTCCTTTGTTTCTTTGTTTCTTTGTTTCTTTGTATCTTTGTTTCTTTGTTTCTTTGTTTCTTTGCTTCTTTGTTTCTTTGTTTCATTGTTTCTTTGGTTCTTTGTTTCTTTGTTTCTTTGTTTGTTTTTTTGCTTGCTTGCTTGCTTGCTCGCTTGCTTGCTTGCTTGCTTGCTTGCTTGTTTGTTTGTTTGCTGTTCGTTCGTTCGTTTGTTTGTTTGCTTGCTTGATTGATTGTTTGTTGGTCTTTGTTTGTTTGCTTGCTTGCTTGCTTGTTTGTTTGCTTGTTTGTTTGTGTGTGCTTGTTTGTGTGTGTGTGTTTGTGTTTGTTTGCGGTTGTTTGTTTGGTTTGTTGGTTGGCTCAATTGATTGGGTTGTTGTTTGTTGCAGTTTTGTTGCGTTTGTTTGGTTGTTGTGGTTTGGTTGGTTGTTTGGTTAGTTGTTACGTGCTTGCTTGCTTGCTTCCTTCCTTGCTTGCTCGCTCGATCGCTCGCTCGCTTGTTTGTTGGTGTGTTGGTTTGTGTGTGTGTGTGTGTTTTTGTGTGTTTGTGTGTTTGTGTGTTTGTGTGTTTGTGTGTTTGTGTGTTTGTGTGTTTGTGTGTTTGTGTGTTTGTGTGTGTGTGTGTGTTTCTGTGTTTCTGTGTTTGTGTGTGTGGCTCGCTTGTTTGCTTGTTTGCTTGCTTTCTTGCTGGCTTACTTGCTTGGATTGTTTGTTTGTTGTGTGTTTGTGCGTGCGCCTCTGTTTGTGGGTTTATCATAGTCGTTCCCAGGAACTCTTGTGCTAGTCACGTAATATCTCTTTTCACGATGAACACGCCGAACCCAAGCCAACAAGCTTGGTTGCGGCTGGACTTGAGCTCTACCATCCTCGATGTAAAATGTGGCAGCAAGTCGGCTTGACCAATCCCTGAGACGCAGCGACTTTGGGTGTCTGCCCAAAGATCATCTGAGACATGCAGTGCATTCCAGTCCTCAGAGAGAGGAACCAACCGACGACCTTGGCAGGGCATAGGGGCCAGGAAGATAGATGGGCGTCCCTTTGTTTTTGTTGTGAATTCCCAAGCGTCAAAGTGTTCGGCTGGTGAAAACCAGTCATTCCCCCAAAGGTCCAAGGATCAAAAAGCTTGGCAAAACCAATAAGAAACGCAGGACCGAACTGTAGAAGGACGATTCAACAGTCAACCGAGGCAACGTTTGCGAGTGCCTTCACACCTTGGATCGTGCCCAAGGCTTGAGCTTGGTTGAGGGAAGGGGTTGAAATGGCAACGCCCGCGTGGGTCATGCAGATGCGATTTCTGAGCGGGCGAGTCCTTGGAAGCAGTGCAGCTTTAGGACGACTTGAACCGCCTTTCCTCTGTGACCGGCTGACAGGCTCGCCTTCACCCCAGACCACGCATTGTCCCCTTTACTACGATAACGACAGTAAATATTGACTATTGCTCATGTGCTTGTTTCTTTTCAACCTACGTGTGTCCTTCTTACGGGTATATGTTCACAATCTAGCCAGCCCATCCAAAGCAATTGCATCACGGCCAATAAACCGATGCAAAGCTCAAAGTCTGCCGACTCCCTGAAGTGACCTGCGAGCTATGGCGAAGATTCACACGGTGACACCTCATCATGTTTACTGGCAAGTTGGCGAGTGTCCCCCACTCTATCTTTGCGACAGTGCGAGGGGTCTTGACCATTGCTCCACTGGAAGAAACAATTGGCTCTATGCAAGCAATACTCTCCAAACTACCCTTGAACAAGGCCATTTTTGCCAGGATCCGCCGCCTTTTTCCCCGTGCGCAAAGTGGCTGTGGCTCAAAAAGTGGTACCAAAATGCCACCTTGCTAACTGGAGCCAAAGCCTAAAACCTGCGTAACCCTAGCTCTTCCATTTTGAGCCATACCCAAGTGACCCTTCTGCTCCCGCCTTAGGCCGCGCTCAAAACCACCCTCTTAGGCCCCGGGCGGAGTTCCGAGAGCCAGCGAGGGCTTGCTCACCTCGGGCAGGATGCTCCTTCAAGGAGGTGGGTCAGAATCAAAACCCGGTATTAACATGGTCGGCCCATGCTTCAATAATTTTGAAGGCGGATAGCCGCAGCTATTTATGGCAAGGCGATTGTCCCTTACTAACCTTCAATTGCCCGGGTTTTAATTGTGACTCAGGTGGAGTTGTTCAAGCCCCGATTCCATTTTCCGACTTCCCATGGAACAAGACGGAACTTGACCTTTTGCTTAGCAACAAAACACAAGAAACCAGACCTTCAGCGGGGGAATGATTTTGGGAAGGGGATTTTTTGGACCAGAATCTGGAGATGGGGTTCCGAGCTATTGTATGGTACGCTGTTGTTTTTTGATCAAGCGGGAATCTTCGCCGACAGTTGATTGGGGTGCAGTTGTAGGCCACTTTCGTGGGTACATGACCCGAATTTGTCTTGTGATCTGGTTCAACGTGGGCTTGGGACTTTTTTGTTCCCTGAGAAGCAGGGTGTACTTGGCAAGTGATCACCTTGGGCCAGCGCAGCTCCTTCACTATGTCGCTCAGGTCTACCTCCTTCAGCGCAAGACATCATGAAGGTGTACTATCCTAAGGCGGGCAACCCAAAAACGGAACCTGACTGTAGGTCCTGACAAACCGCTTGCTTGCGGGACCTTCTGAACCCAGGAATCTCACTTTAAACCAGTCCAAAGATGATGTTTAAAGCCACACGGCAAAAACTTGTTGGGCTCCGCAGGGAATGAGGGAATGACCCTGAGAAAGCATCCAACCGGTGGTTTCCTGAAGGGGACCAACGCCCGGCTCACTCTCTCATTCCCTACCTATGGCACCAGCCTTGTCCATTCTTTCTAACCATCTCTTTCTTGACCAAAAAACGGCTCCGTCTCCCCCTGCATTTTTGGACGGTCGCCTGAAAAACGAAGCCACCGCCTTCTTTTTACGGCGCAGGCACGGGGCTCGCCCCCCGCCCTCCCAAATCGGCTCCTTGGGAGCTGTCGCTGCCGGGGTGCAGCAGCCCACCTCCCCGCGCATCCGGAAAACACGCCAACCATGTGTCACACGAGCCGCATATCAGCTGTCACTGAAATTTTGGAGTTGAAGGAACCACTAGTGTCCTTCTACGACCCCGTCTTTACCGAAAAAAAGTCCCCACAGAACTTCCCCCGACCTGACCCGTCATGGGAGTCGCGCCTGAAACGCCTCCGAGCCCCGAATAAAGGCCGCGGCATCCTGCGGGTTTTTGCCCCACGCTCGGGAACCGACGTCCCAATCGCGACTGGTGTCACGTACATGCGGAAAACTAGTAGCCCGCGAAGCCACGCAGGATCCAAATCAGTCTGTGTATGTGTAATCTGTATGGTGTTCATAGTCTGCTTCACACTTTCTCTAACCTCAAACATGTTACAACGTTGGAGAAGACCGCTGGGTAATTGCCCTATATACAAACAAATATACATATACGTGTGAATAAAGATGCATGCAAAACACACGTTCCAGCTTCTAAAATGAAGCTCTAAAGATGCACTCCTTTTTAGACTTAAATTCTAGCATCGGTACTTAGTGCAATCCAGGATGTGCTAGCACCTGCTAGCACACCCGGGATTGAAGATTGAAGATTCTCAGACCACGTGTTCCGGAAATCTTCACTCCATCCTTAGGACAAACTGACGTTCCTGTCATTGGCTTGGCTCAGTTCTTGCTTGGTTCAAACCACATGGAGTTCGATAAGGACAATAACCCTTTCAAAACTGAGTTTGATTCCAACTTCATTTGGCCATGACAACAGCTATCTTCTCCAATTGATCTTTGACATGGACAAGAAACTGCAAACGAGGAAACTTGAATTTGGTTTGAACTCGAAAGCGTTTTAAACTGGATGTCCTTCTCTTACTTGAATTTCAATAGTTGTTATTGGCGATGATTGAACCAACTTAGACAAGCAACACACACACACATGGAATAGTTGCTTTGTAACATATGTTTCAAACAGACTGAACTAGCATGCAGATGGAATTATGCACAACACTCGAGCAAACATGTAAATGCAACTGCGCAAGGACATGAAGTAGGAATGAGTTCCTTTTCCCCAAGTTGAGGATTTGCTGCATTTCGCTGCCAAACAAAAATCATAAACATCAAATAATAGAGCTGCTACAGGCGCGTTGAAGCTGCCAAAACATACTTCGCGCACTACTCTTGTACTGAACAGTTGTGCTTTTTGCGCTGGAGCTGCCAAAGTGCACTTTGCATACTCCAATGTCACTTTAAGTGCACTTCACGCACCTTAATGTGACGGTCACACAACTCGCAACTCCTATTCAACGTTGAGCTTAACTTTGCTTGGTTGGACTTTGCATGGAGTTCAGTTCAGAGCCTGTTCTGGCCAAAAACTTGAGTCTTTCAAGGGGGGTAGTATATAATATATACATATATATATGGTACCCCCCAAACAAAATGACGGTATTTGCAGTACTGTTGCGCGATTTCCACCCCTTTTCAGGCACTCCAATGTTGAGCATTTCACTCTGCCCGCATCTGCGACTGTATCCACCTAAAACGCTTTAAAGCGCTTTATGGCACTTTTGGATCTAAGACTCAAGATTCAAGATTTTCAGGACTCTAGATCTTGAATCTTGAATCCATCATGAGACCCCCAAAACGCTTTCAAGCGCTTAAAAGCGCATGTTCATCTCAGATTCGAGATGCCCACAACTCTAGATTTTGAATCTTGAATCCAGTATGGCAAGCCCTTCAAAACGCTTTAGAGCGCTTTAAGCATACTGGATTCAAGATTCAAGATCTAGAGTGCTGGGATTCTTGAATCTTGAATCTTAGATCCCAAAGTGCTGTGAAGCGCTTTAATGCGTTTTGGGGCCCCATAGACTCAAGATTCAAGATCTAGAGTGTTGGGAATCTTGGCTCTTAGATCCAAATGTGCTTTAAAGCGTTTGGGGGGTCGCATTCTGGACTCAAGATTCAAGATCTAGAATTGAGTGAGTGAGTGAGTGAGTGAGTGAGTGAGTGAGTGAGTGAGTGAGTGAGTGAGTGAGTGAGTGAGTGAGTGAGTGAGTGAGTGAGTGAGTGAGTGAGTGAGTGAGTGAGTGAGTGAGTGAGCGAGCGAGCGAGCGGGTGGGTGGGTGGGTGGGTGGGTGGGTGGGTGAGTGAGTGAGTGAGTGAGCAAGAGCTGCTGCGCTAGGTGGGAAGCGCAGAGCCACTGCCTAAGGCGCCATCCCTCCTCGCTTTGTAAGAGGCTCCGCAAACGTCATTGCCTCCCCCACTTGGAGTTCAAGCTGGCTAAGCGCTCCTCAGGCTCACAGACCCAAATAAGTGTGGCCAGGGGAAGCGCTGCTGCCTAGTCAGGCCCGCCACCCGCACCAATCGCGAACCGCGACTGGCCAGCATAAGGGCAAGACAGCGTAACGTCCTTGAACGGCAGCAATTCCCGCATGCGCTTCCCACTGTGATCACTCACAATGGTACTAAGCCGCAACCACACAGTGGGCCTCGTCCTAGCCTGAGGCAAAAGAGAGGCCACTCACGGGTGGTATGGGCTGCAAGATGAGCCCATGCAGCAAAATGCCACACGGCTTGGACGCAGCCAGAAGATCTAGAATTCTGGGATGTTTATCTTGAATCTTAGATCCAAGAGCGCTTCAAAGCGTCTGCTTTCAGATATTCCTGTTTGGGTGTGCACCTTAGTATCATTTTCGACTTGTGCGCGGTCAATACAAATGATACTTCAAAATATGGACATTGGATATGTTGCTTTAAGTGACTTTAAAGCTGCACACCAACCCTTGTTCTGGGACATTAATTATTTTAGCAGACGGCGTGGCATTGGGCCGAGGTTTGTAAGCTGACAAACGAAGGGATTTGCACATGAGTTGAGGTGATAAATCGAAGATGTGCAGGCGAAGCAGAAGAGGTATGGTTTGCCTTTGTTTTGATACACTTGCGCCGACACCCTCACAGACAGAAATGTTTTACAGCCAGTTGAGCGAGGATAACATTAGCGATGGAGACATGCCAAAACACACTTACTCTGAACACATTGAGAGAACATCACAATTTCTATTTGACAGCAGATGTGTTTTCTTGGCTGATATTTTTGAAAACTTCAAAGATGTATGTATGACATACTGTGGTCCAGACCCTATGTAATATGACATGTTACCTAGCTTCGCTTTTACACACTACCAAACTTTGCTTGTGATGCTACTTGTCCAAGTAACTAGATTGAGTTTATGGCTAGACAATGTATGAAATGATTGGAAAAAGACCAAGAGGCCTATGACCGACAATGTGTTCAGAACGTAGAAGAGCAAATGCTATTAATTTATATGGGTGGCAAAGTCTTAATGAATCATCTGCGAAAGTCTGCCAAATTGTGAAATGAGTCCCCTTTTGGTAAAACCTGTCTAGAATCTCTTGACCCTTTTCAGGCACTCCAATTTTGACACTTTTGACTGTGCCTGTATCCACCTAAAACGCTTTGAAGCGCTTTACAGCACTTTTGGATCTAAGATTCAAGATTCAAGATTCCCCGGACTCTAGATCTTGAATCTTGAATGCTTTGGGAGGGGGGGGGGTGCATTTAAATGTATAGCAGGAAAACAGACTGTGTTTCTGGCTGGTTCTTTGGAGAAATCACCAAGGATTTTTGGGAAAACTGGAAGGGGATCTGGCAGTTCCAAAAAATCTCCGAGCAAGATAAGGCAACAGGCTTGATCCTGTGTCCAAAAACTCACGCCAAAACGCCGGTGGTGCCCTTTGGGGGAAAACGCATCTGGTGTTTTTCACTGGGGAATCACCTTCCCGAAAAACCATCATCTAAATGTAGAGGGGCCCAGCTGCCGAACTGTTGCCCAATCAGGGCGACTGAAAGGCACTGGGCTTGGCGAAAAAAGGTCAAAAGAAAAGGTCCCAGAAGACTTTCGGACGCTTGAATCCTCAGCTGAACGTCCGTACGGTCCCCGGATCTGAACGGTCTTTCGTGAGGGCACCCTTCTCTTGCTAAGGAAAACCAAAGGGAACCACACAGTTTTTTGGGGGTTCCCCTAGTTGGAGACAAACCTATCTGGAATACTCTAGCCACGCCTCTCTTTGCAAACAAGTTTGCACATAACGAAGCGTTCCAAAGAGAAAAGAATGCGCAAACATCTGTTCCACTGCACCAACCCAGACTTCTCACCCGCATCCACCGAGCTGCCACTGCCAAGTCAACAAAGAAGCTTTCAATGCAAAAGAATCGCATGAATCGTCCAGAGTTTGGCCCCTGACATCTTCTTGGTTGCCGAAAAGGCAATCAGGGAGTCCGGCTTGCTGAGTTTGAAAGGAACCAATGGCGACTTGTGTTTCGAGCGTAAAATCAGAACCATGATGCATTTCAAGACCAAACCGTGCGGCAAGACTTGTTGCGGGTTTATGGTTGCCTGAAATGTCGATCTCAGAAAGGGCTCATGTTTCACCGAGTTCGGCGGAACCCATTGTCCAGAACCTTGACCAATCAAATTTGCAGAGGACCAAAAGAGCGAACCCGGAAACCAGTCTGCTGGCTGAATCAAACCTAGTGTCAAAAAGAAACGACTACCCCAAAGGCACGGTAAAGAATCAAAGGTCTTCTGGTTGGGTTTGTCCCCAACTGGCCTTCAGCTTCCCGAGCGTGCAACCAAACCAGAAATCGTCAACGGGTGAGGCCGCAAACCCCAGAAAAACATTGCCCAGCTCGGACGATCACTTCCAGAGAGAAACGCTTTTCCTCCACGTGGCTCACTTGGGTACGTCCCTTGAAGGGTAACCGTTGTGGGGGGCTCGCAGGAAATCATGACCAACATCCCATGTTGGGAACGGTTCATTTGGAGACACCATGTCAAAATTAAGCAACCAGGGGACAGCAGGTGTTACTCCATGCTTCCATTTGCCAGGGTTCCATTTTGGGAACCTATTAGACAAACCCACACTCCCAAAGACTTTCACCAGGCGAAGCTAAGTGAGTTGGCCGCGGAATTTCGCTCGTCTCGCGAGCCATATCGCCTGCCGTCGCTGCTCCAGGGCTTGCATCGAGGTCAGCATGGCTGGGCAGCGAAGGTGAACCCGACGGACCCCGAAAAAAATGGGGGAAAAGAGAGGGGGGTGAACCGGACGGACCCCGAAAAAAATGGGGGAAAAGAGAGGGGGGGCTTAGAAAAGCTGAATGGTTCCAACCAAATGGATCTACTAAGATGAATAATCGAGTTCTACAAATTTATACTCATAATATGATCCCGCACTCTAACCTGCTATCAATCCAAAGACTTGAAAAGCCCTCTTCTTCAGGTCATGCTTACAATGACACAGAGGTTGGGTGAAGTCTCAAAACCTCCCAAAGTGGCCAACTGTGGCTGGCACTCTCTTTAACTAAAAAGCTAAAGGCACTTTCACCACTCTATATACACCCAAATGGGGATGTGTCAAGTAGGAGCACCCAACAACTGGTTAGATTACTCTCGGCTTCCTTTTGAACCAACCTGAAAAAGGATACCCTTCGCCTTACGCAACACACAAGAATCTCGTTGAAAAACTCCAATAACTTCTGGGAGCATCGCTTCTCTTTGCATGCGAATGACACATCGTCAGCTGGTTGCACAATCACGGGGAAAAAGCGGCACCTCACTCATGCGCGTTTTGGTGTGAAATCATCCTGAGACTGCAAGAAAGCACCATGGTGCTGTCCTTCCGAGAACGCGTTTTTCATTTGAATAGCTATGGCTCATGAGCACTCACGAGTCGGAGTCCGATGAGTTTGGCACAAAGACAGCCCGTTTGCATCACCAATTGCGTGAGAAGACTGCGTGGACATGAATCTCCACCTAAACGGTGCCCGCCATTTTGGGTCCCCAATTGAAATTCACGCCCACATCTTCGACTCGACGCCTCGGGCCAGCTTGGCCAAGGTGAACAAACGGCTCGGGATCGCGCCAACACCTGGCGGGCATAGGCCCAAGAGTCACCCGACTGCCTCACCGTTAACTGACGCTTTTGGAGCAAGGAGATTGAGGGACCTCTGCTAAAGGAAATCTTTGCCTGACTCTGGCGAAGCCGTGGTTTTCTGTGACCTCCCCTCTCGCTCCCTCTGACCCTAGCTGGCTCTGTGCCAGGTGATGGTCGATGGCTTTTGGGCCCCGATCTAGGAAGCTTTTGGTCTGTGAAAGAAGCCCTCCGCCAGTCGCCAATTGATCAAACTCAACGAACCAGGCCCCAATGACATATTCTTATACTATAGCATGCGTTTTGCGCATATGACGTTGAGATGGACAGCTTCTCGGATTTTCCCCGCTTGGTCCAACATGTTACCTGCACCAGACCAGACAGGGCAACTCGGGCTTGGATGCCGTGCCACCACTGCCTTAGAAAGGCCTAGTGCGTCTTGCCAAGCTGATTTCAGCCAAACTGGATGGTTTGTCGCGCGGCACTCCGGTAAACAACAGGGCCTCCGTCCCGTGCGCCAAATCGAGAGCACCTAGAATTTCTCTTGGTAAGGGAGGAACGCGGACACACCAAATGCCCCGGCCCACCTTGCACCAAGTTCGCTGGCCCAATTCCTGATGGAGGGACACGGGATATCCTTATGTTGTTGCTTGTAGGTAGCCTTGCTTCATGCTCCTTCGAAAGCCTGGCGCGTGAGTCGTGAGCTTGTAGACAGCCTGCCGTTTGGCCCGCAGTTGTTTCTGAGTTTGCGTACAGGTGTGCTAGGAGGGTTCCATTTCAGATTTTTGATGCACCTGCTTCGTGCAAAGTTTGTCACTGCCTTCCCGACATGGAACCTAAAGGATTGCGCCTGAAATACTTTCTCCTTGCGCGTGTCCCCTTTGTAGCGCAAAAAAGGCTGAATGGATCCTGACAATATCCCCAGTGACAGCGCGGAGGCGGCACGCTCCTTTTTTGGTGGCGAGGGCTGTAATGATGGTAAACCCACTGCGGGATGCGCAACAGCGCATGATAAGCTGCACATTGCGCATGCAGCGAATGCTGTGATACATATGGCTATCCTGCATTCCTGAAGGGACTCAAGGACTCAGGTAAGAATCTCGTTCTATCAAATCAGACACATTTTTCCTTTGGAAGCATGTTGGCCTCGGATTTCCACAGATCCAGGGCGCTTACCACGCTTCAGCGAGCAGTAGTAACACGCGAAGGGCACAGCAATCGTTCGAAGACACAGCCTGTTCATCTTGAGCCCAGTGACGATGTTCTTCGTCATAGGTCCCAGAGGGTTCGTGAGCAATCATGGCCTTCGCTGCCACTTTGCAGCGCAAATAGGGCTGAATGATCTTGACAATATCCCCTACCGAGCAGCGCGGAGGCGGCACAAAGCACTGTGGGCAAGTTTAGGACTTTGGCTTTAACTCTTGGCAAAAGCGCAGCAATGTACGAAGAAAGTTCCAGGCAAGAAGAGGGGCGTAGCTCCTCGAAAAGCTATGGTGTTGGCAAGGGCTCTCTCAGAAACACTTGCGGAATTGAGAAGGGGAAAGCAACGTTGCGCCATTGCTGCAGCGTTTGGAGAGGAAAGTCTTGAAGTGGCTGCACCATTGAACAAAAACCGGCTCACGAAGCAGCACAGGATATATTGATATATTTACGCTTGCCAAACCACTTGCTGGTATCTGGGGCTTGTAAGACCTGTCCCCCATCAGACCAGGCTTGTCGACAGACACATTAAAATAGATTATTAAATATAATAGAAGGCACATCTATCATAAGCTGCGCTAGCGCTGACGCAGCTTGTCTTTCATGCTCAGTAGCAAACACCTCCTCGAGCCGTGTGAACATGTCCACAGCAGGAGACAACTTAGCCATGAAAACTTGAAAAAGATTGAGCATGAATCCTCTCATCGCTTTGCTTCTGCTGAAGGCACTGAGGGCCGACTACATCAGTAAAGATGAATGTGTCTCCACGATTGGGCTTGCTGGTCTTGCGCCCTTTCTCCCACGCCTGCGACCAAGAATTCCACCAACACCGGGTCAGGAACCTCAAATGAGCTGATCAACGTATCGTGCCCACCGCTGATGTCGTTTGGGATGAGAACGGCGGGCTGCGAGATGCTTCCAGCTGCTTCATGGTCACGAATGCGATTGGCTCTGAGAACCGAGACAACCCGATCCGTAATATGTCGACGCAGGCGGCCAATATGCAAGTCAAGTACCAGAATCCGACAGAGCACGGGTGTGAAACCAGAATGCGCCACAGCCGAAACGAGTGAAGCACACGACAGGTAGCAATAGACTGCGCTTTTCGCAGCAGATCTAAGCGGTCGCCTCTGACACATTGTCCCGGAGTCCACTGTTCCTCACGCAACGTCAGCGTGCGCCCAGTGAGCCCTTCTTCACCGCAACCTTTCCGCTGGGGCAGCACATGCTGCAAGGCATGCTGCCACGTGCCTTCGCTGCTCGAGCTGGGCCTTTCTACATAGGCGCGGCCGTTCTGCTTGAGTCCGCTTAATCAGGTTTTGCACCGATCTGGTGAACTCACTCATCACTACATTTAAGCTTGCTGTGTGGCCATACCGTGACTCAACATGGTAACGAAGTTGCAACGTCACCGGCTCACCCGTCAGCCACACAGTTGGCTGGCTAGCTTGCTGTCACCGCTACTGGTAGGTTCTTGAGCTCAGACGAGGTCAAGGGGTCTTGGACATTGAGTTCTAGCAACCAAACTGGACAAAGACCCCCTGACAAATTGAGTTCTAGCAACCAAACTGGACAAAGACCTCCTGACAAATTGAGTTCTAGCGACCCCCTGACAAATTGAGTTCTAGCAACCAAACTGGACAAGACCCCCTGACAAATTTAGTTCTAGCAACCAAACTGGACAAAGACCCCCTAACAAATTGAGTTCTAGCAACCAAACTGGACAAAGACCCCCTGACAAATTGAGTTCTAGCAGCCAAACTGGACAAAGACCCCCTGACAAATTGAGTTCTAGCAGCCAAACTGGACAAAGACACCCTGACAAATTGAGTCAAGCAGCCAAACTGGACAAAGACACCCTGACAAATTGAGTTCTAGCAACCAAACTGGACAAAGACCCCCTGACAAATTGAGTTCTAGCAACCAAACTGGACAAAGACCCCCTGACAAATTGAGTTCTAGCAACCAAACTGGACAAAGACCCCCTGACAAATTGAGTTCTAGCAACCAAACTGGACAAAGACCCCCTGACAAATTGAGTTCTAGCAACCAAACTGGACAAAGACCCCCTGACAAATTGAGTTCTAGCAACCAAACTGGACAAAGACCCCCTGACAAATTGAGTTCTAGCAACCAAACTGGACAAAGACCCCCTGACAAATTGAGTTCTAGCAACCAAACTGGACAAAGACCCCCTGACAAATTGAGTTCTAGCAACCAAACTGGACAAAGACCCCCTGACAAATTGAGGACAAAGACCCCCTGACAAATCTAGCAACCAAACTGGACAAAGACCCCCTGACAAATTTAGTTCTAGCAACCAAACTGGACAAAGACCCCCTGACAAATTGAGTTCCAGCAACCAAACTGGACAAAGACCCCTGACAAATTGAGTTCTAGCAACCAACTGGACAAAGACCCCCTGACAAATTGAGTTCTAGCAACCAAACTGGACAAAGACCTCCTGTCAAATTGAGTTCTAGCAACCAAACTGGACAAAGACCCCCTGACAAATTGATTCTTAGCACCAAACTGGACAAAGACCCCCCTGACAAATTGAGTTCTAGCAACCAAACTGGACAAGACGACCCCTGACAAATTGAGTTCTAGCAACCAAACTGGACAATACCCCCTGACAAATTGAGTTCTAGCAACCAAACTGGACAAAGACCCCCTGACAAATTGAGTTCTAGCAACCAAACTGGAGCACAGAACCCCCCTGACAAATTGAGTCCCCTAGCAAACCAAAACTGGACAAAGCCCCCCTGACAAATTGAGTTCCTACAACTAAATGTGGACAAAGACCAACCCCCTGACAATTTGAGTTCTAAGCAACCAAACTGGACCAAGACCCCCTGACAAAATTGAGTTCTAGCTACCAAACGTCTGGACAAAAGGACCCCCTGACAAATTAGCTCTAGCATCCAATCTGGACAAAGACGCCCCTGACTAATTGAGTTCTACAACCTAAACTGGACAAAGACCCCCGGACAAATTGAGTTCTAGCAACCAAAAACGGACTAAGACCCCCTACAAATTGAGTTCTAGCAACAAACTTGGACAAAGAAACCCCCTGACAAATTGAGTTCTAGCAACCAAACGGGACAAAGACCCCCCCCCCCTGGAAAAAAAAAAAAAACAAATTTAGTTTCTACAACCAAACTGGACAAAGACCCCCCTGACCCAAATTGATTCTAGCAACCAAAACGGACAAAGACAACCCCTGACAAATTGAGTTCTTAAAATCGCAAACAAAAAAACCCCCCCCCCAACTGGACAATACCCCCTTACAATGAGTTCTAGAGCAACCAACTTGACAAAGACGCATCCTGTACAAATTGAGTCAAGCACAAAAAAAAAAAACCCCCAAAAAACCCTTGGACAAAGACCCCCTGACAAATTTGAGTCTGGCAACCAAACTGGACAAAGACCAGCCCTGACAAATTGAGTTCTAGCAACCAAACTGGACAAAACCCCCTTGACAAATAGTTTTTAGCAACCAAACTGGACAAATCCCCCTGACAAATTGAGAAGACCCCCTGACATATTGAGTTCTAGCGACACCAACTGGACAAGACCCCCTGACAAATTAGAGTTCTAGCAACCCAAACTGGACAAAGACACCCTGACAAATTGAGTTCTAGCAACCAAACACTCGGACAACACCCCCACCCCTGACAGAATTGAGTTCAGCAAGGCAACCAAACTGGAACAACGGACCACCTGGTCAAATTGAGTTCTAGCAACCATACTGGACAAAGACTCCCCTGACAAATTGAGTTCAACAACCATACTGG